ACCCTTTCGTTGCTTTCCAAGATGCTTCCGCTCTCGCCCATCACCATGGAATGGAGTCTCTCGCTCCTGCATAACCTCCTAAAGGACAAGAAGGCTTTTAGGTGGATCCCCAACGACGTCGCAACCCTCAACGGCGACGAGGCGGCGGCCTTGGAGAGGACGCGGGTGGAACTTCTTCGAGTGCGTGCGCGGCTATGCACGCTGAAAGGAATTCTGCGGGATATCCTGGAGAAGGGGCGCTTTTTCGGCGACACCCCCCCGCAGCAGGCGGACACGGGGCACCGCCTCCAGACCGTCCTCACGGCTCTCAAGGAGCAACTCGAGGAGTCCTCCGCGCAGGAAAGTCTTCTTCTCAAGACCTTGGGCGATGACGAAGCTCGGGCTGCGGCGGCGCGGAGCCGTCATTTTCTAACCTCCCAATGCAAGGCTCTCTGTCGGGATCTATCCGATGCCCTGTTGAGTTCCCACTCCGCTATCTTCGTGAATGGCGTCCTGGTGCGTCTGTCAGGCCTGATGGAGGAGGCCACGCTAACCGTCAGGCACGTCGACCCCGCCTTCCGCGAGGTCTCTTGTGAGGTGGTTCGTCTGTTGATTGGAGTTCTTTATCACTATAACGACGTGTGCTTGAGCGGGCACGCGATTCGCTGCCTCGCCTGGGTGGGGATGTATCGCTTTGACGACCCCGCCAACGCCGTTCTCGGCTGTTACCTCGGCGGAATTCTACGGCAGCCACCTAGGGCGCCTCTCCCTGCTGCGCTACGCGACCTCCTTGGCCTCCCTTCCACCGTATCCGATGCGGGGAGGTTCGCGCAGCTCAAACTTCGCCTTCTCGACGTGCTGCTGAGTTGGTGCGATTACGATGAAGATGGCCTCACGCTGCGCAACGTCGATCGTCTTGAAGGGGGACTTTTCGACCTCCTCACGGCGCTCTGCCGGCCGCCGGAGGAGACGGCTGTGCAGGTGGCGGCGCTTCACCTCATAGGGTGCTTCGTCGTCTCCTCCGCCTCGCGCGTCGCCCTGGGGAGAGTGGTGGAGCTCGTTGTGGAGGTCTTTCGCCATTCCCCCGTGGCGATGGCGAAGGCGGCGGGAGCGTCGGTGCTGGGGTACATCGCCGCGACGTTATCCTCGCAGCGGACGTTGGCGACGTTGCAGGATGTGGACCTCGGGAGGCTCTTGGATATTGCCCGGGCGATGGAGACGTATCACTCACCTCAGGGATCGCTTAGCTTGGGCGAGGATTTGCTCCATGAGGAAGTCATTCGGAGGCATGGGTCTGATATTGTGCGGCTGTTACAAGATAGTGGCCGACAAATGCTAATCTCTGAGCTTCCATTGTAAAATAATAAACAAGAGTGAATCCTAGTCCACGTTGCAAAAAAAAAAAAAACGACGAAAAAAACGAGGCTTCCATTCTTTTATTCAATGCGAACATGTTTGACATTGGGTGCTTGCATGGGGGAACGTCCCGACTCGATGATCACAATCCACACAAAATCTCCCTCCTTTTCTTTTTCGAGGTAGCTCTCAAAATATATTGATATTAAATAATCCTAATAATAGTCACATAATAGTATTAATAAATAAAAATACATTGGACCGTTTTGACACTTTAGTTCTCAGCGATAATTGTGTGCTCATCGCTAATATATTGCGTGGACAAAAACAGAAAGTGGTTTCCAGAATCATAACTAAAAGGATGACTGAAGTTGAATCAAGCGATGGGCAAAAGCTCCATCCACTAAGGGATGATTGGTTTGTTTATTACATTCGCGCCGTCAAGGATGGTAGGAGCTACGATGATGCCTGCGTAGAGTTGGATTATGTGCATTCAATCGAAGAAGTTTTCGCTGTCCTGAACACCTTTCCCAACGTTACCTTACTACCGCCAGATGATAGTTTGGTCTTTTCGAGGAAAAAGATCTCACCAAAGTTTGAAAGCTTTCCTGATGGTCATCGCATCTCCGTCTTTACAAAGACAAAGGTGCAGGCTGACGATTGCATCCTAAGGGTTATCGCCGCCGTTCTTGGTGAGAGTATATTCAGGGATGTTTGCAGCGAAGAGCCCCTTGTTGACGTCGTCCGTATCTCACATAAGCCTCATCGCTTTTATGAGTTTGCCGCTCGTATAGAGGTGTGGGCGCACAAGTCCTCCCATGAACGGGAACTGGAAGAATATTTTAGAGATCTGCTTAAACTCATTCCGGGGATCTACATTAAACCATCAAAGATGGTTTAATCATCAAAGTGGCGCCGGAAAGAATTCGTGGAAGAATACATTCCATATTTCCTCTACGCTCAACGGATAGTGGTTTCTGAGAGTGTTGGTTTTAAAGGTGTAAAATTTTATGCCTGACTAGATATTCTTTTGCTGAAAAGAAAAAGACATAGCGGTGTGAGGCGGGTGGGTGGGGGGAGGCGTGTACACGAGGGGCGTCATTTTGTCCTGTGGATCTTCACTGTGTGGGAATATTGTGAACTCTTTCCCTAAGCATATATCCCCCGGTCTTGTTTTGATTTATTTATTTACACACAGGAAGAGACGCATGTTAGTAACGAATTATTAATATCCTTCCCCTTCTCTGATGCAAGAAATCCTTGACCTTGTGCGCCGCAAATGCATCTCGCACTTTCATAAGCTTTCACCCCATGATACATTTAGCAAGTTCCTCAAGGAGCGAGCGAAGTTCGCTCCTTGAGGAAAAAATGGAAATAGTGTTTCGCTATGCTATGGCTAAGGGTATGTCTCTAATCTAACGAACGCATTTTGATTATGCGCTTATTTTTATTAGTTCTATGGATAATAATTTTTGGGAAGGTTCAGTACCTGGTTTCTTTGTGTGTTTTGCTAGTTCAGTTTTTTGGGGACTTTATGGCTACAGGGGTTATTAAAAGGAGAACTACGGAACTCTCACACTCGGTCTGTAGTGCGATTTTATAAGAAAAAAAGGAGGGAGAGATAAACAGAGGGGGGGGGAGGGGATGTAAAGGAGGAACATAACCATCAGGTCCTTCAGAAGGTGTACAGGTCTCGAACTTAATCCGAATAACTAGAAAGAAAACATGATGTGCGCGTTCTCACAGCGTGCGAATATTTGAAACTTTAGTAATAAATTTTGCGTTTCTTCTGATGTAGCTTTTCCTGTTATGACATCCAAAAACGCGTTATGCATGTTTTTTTTTTGTCTGTGGAAAACCTGAGCTATTGATTTCTCCAATTTTTCCGATGCGATAAGAAAAGGGTTGAGGAGGGGGAACAAGCCTGATGTTTCTATTAGATCGCCTCGCAATGTGGCGGTGATGGGCCCTACTCCTCTAAGCGTAATAATTGGAGTCCAGAAAAGCAATCTGCAGCCTCTGGGCTGCCTGAAAAATGGATATCCTATAAGCACTTATCGGAGTCATCGCCGGGAGGTCTATTTTGCCTGTCTTGATGTGAGTACAACTATTTCTTCCTCTGTAATTATCTATTGAAATACAAATCTATCCCTTTACTCATTTTTAAAATCGAAAAATAAAATAAGGGCTAATTTTGTGTTCACATATTTTAACGTGTCTGATACCGAACACATTTTGCCAATACTTGAAATTGGAGTGTCTTGATTGTATTCATATCCAGCTACTGCCTCTAGTCCTTTCTTTGTTCACATTGAGCTTATCGATTTTGTTTTACAGTCCAACCCAAGTCATCCATTGGATTAAAAAGAAAATAGAGCTGAAAATATCACCTTTTTAATTCTATTTTTATTGTGAGAGCGTGTCTGCACACGATCTACAAATTGAAAAGTTGGCTTGTATCATAAAATTATGTCACTGGCAGAGCCGTGTGAAGAATCTAAAACTGGCATCAAGCATGTGCTGGGTGAGCCGACGCTGGAGGGGCTGTCAAACTACATCAAATTACACAATATTCGTAAAATACTTTGCCTGGTGGGTGCTGGCGTTAGTGTAGGCGCGGGGATTCCAGACTTTCGTTCAGACAAGGTCGGTATCTACTCGAAGCTGTCGAAGTACAATCTAAAAGACCCCACCGAAGCGTTTTCCTTAGCCTTGCTGCGCGAGGACCCCACGATCTTCTACTCCATTGTATCAGAAATGAACCTCTGGCCGGGGAGCCACAAACCCACGGCAGTGCATCACTTTATTAAGCTTCTGGCTGACGAGGGACGGCTTCTGCGCTGCTGCACGCAGAACGTTGACGGCCTGGAGTGGAGCGCGGGGCTGCCGGAGGAGCTTCTCGTGGAGGCCCACGGCACCTTTCAGACCTCCAGCTGCATCGACTGCAAACAAAGCTTCGATACCGCGGAGCTCCGACGCGAAAACGCGGACGGCGCCGTCTGGCACTGCCCCTCCTGCGGCGGCATCATCAAGCCGGACATCGTGTTCTTCGGCGAGCAGCTCCCGGAGCGCTTCTTTGACGTCTTCACGCACGACACGAAGGAGGCGGATTTGGTGCTCATCATCGGTACCTCCCTGGAGGTGCGGCCCTTCGCCCTACTGCCGATGTACGTGCGGCCTTCGATCCCGCGCGTGGTGTTCAACCTTCACCGGGTCGGGGGCAGGATGTTTTACCTCCCAGAGGACGATCTGAGAAATGAACGGGCGCAGGATTGGAACTCGTCGTTCTCCTCCGCCACCGGGGGCATGGACAACGAAGACGACGACTTCGTCATCGGGGACACGCCCAACGACGGGGGCGATGTGGATAGACAACAGGGGGATTACGATCACGACCGTAGGGCGTTAGGTGAGAGGGACCCTCGTGATGGAGATAGGGACTCGGTCTCGAGCACCAGTAGTAGCGAAGGGTTCATTATGGATCACCAGGAAGCACTCCGTCGACCCGACGTCTGTCGTGATTTGCTCATCAGGGGCGATTGCCAAAAGACGATTACGCGTTTTGCGGAGTACTTAGGACTTGGGGAGAGCCTTCGTAATGCACTTCTCAGGAAGAATCGATCTAGGTTTTGACGATCGTTGCTTTTGTGAGTTTAATAAAACGGGTAATTTAATTTTCTCGTAACACGCGTGTGACGCGAGTAAGGGAAGAGGTGTATGACTTCATCTATCCTATTGCTGCTAATAACTTTGGAACTGTGCTTATGTCATGGTGGACGTGAATTATATGAGTTTTTGTATATTTCTGTCTCCACTTGTGACTCCATCGCTGTATTTAACATGCACTTTTCCACTCTTCGTGTCCATACTGTTAAAAAAAAAAAAACAGATAGTTTAGTTAGCTGTATAGCAATAAATTGCTCCAGCAATCGCACGGATGCGTCTTATAAAGACCCTGTTTCATCCGGATGGAAACACCGAGGTGAGGGTCTCTGTGAGCACCCCCGAGGACCTGTGGCATCTGTATAACTTTATACTTCCCGAGGACGCCGTGCGAACCAAGACAAAGCGAAAAATCACCAAGGAAAGCTCCATGGGTTCACATACCGCTGAAATAAAGATACTCACTTTAGAGATACGTGTCAACCAGGTTGAGTTCTCGCCTGAGGAGATTCGCGTGCATGGGACCAACATGAGTGAGAACGAGTATGTAAGGCTCGGTGCTCACCACACACTTTCGATTCAGGCTTCGCTCCCGCAGGAGGTGACAATCATCAAAAAGGAGTGGAATACGATTTGGGAGGAGCGGTTGCGGGATGCCTGCGATCAAGGGGCCAGCACCGATACGGTGGCGCTTCTTTTGAGCTATGGTGAGGCTCAACTACTGCTCGTGACGCCTTCCTTCATTCACGTCAAGACTAAAGTCAACGTTACGATCGCCAAGAAGCACAAAAATGATGGCACCGCGCGGGATAAATCAATACAAAAATTTTTCAAGCAGACCCTGGACGCTTTACTTATAAATGTGGATTTTGAGAAGATAAGACTCCTCCTCTTTTGTTCACCGGGGCATGTCCGAGAGGAGTTTTTGGAATACGCGAGAAATGTATGTCAGCATTCTGAACAAGACAACAAGAAGACTTTGTTTCGTAATTTAAACAAGACAGTTCTCATCAAAGTTAATTCTTGCACCATTGGTGGTCTGCGCGAGGTTTTCAAAGACCCTGCCATAGTCAAGCAGATGCAAATGACGCGCTGTGTTAAAGATATCTCGACTTGGGATGCATTCCAAGAAACCATGAATAAAGACCCAGACCGTTGCGTGTATACACTGCAACCTGTCTATCATGCCACCTTAGCTGGCGCGATATCAACTCTTATGATCAGCGATGCCGTTTTCCGCTCTCCAGATCCAGTGGTTCGACGTTTTTTTCTCAGTCTCTACCATTGCGTCCAAAAGAGTGGCGCCTCGGTGGTGCGCATCTTTTCAAGTAACCATGTGACCGGCGAGCAGCTTTCACATATGGGAAATGTGGCGGCAATACTTTTTTTTGCGTGCCCTGAGCTTGACGACATCAAAGCAGACGCGAATTTCATACATAGTGAAGAGGTGGCTGAGTTTATTCGTTGCAACACCCCGAATAAGGTCACGGTGTCATAAGAGCACCAAAGTGACAAGCGGGGGGAGTCTCTCTTTCATAAAAATTTTAAATGCTTGCCTTCATCATTTCTGAAGAGTGTGGGCATATCCTCCTTTCCTTCCCTTTTTCCCTTTCCCTCACACACACACCTCATCCACCCCTTGCCCCTTCCCCCCTCTCGTAGCTTCCAAGAAATGAGCAAAGCAGCATGTAAATGATGGTCCTTTTCCTCATATTTTCTTATTCCAGTGCAGAATTTCGTATTTATCATGAGAAGACATATTCTAATCAAATTCAATTCTTTCTCCCTACTCTTATTTTTAGGTTCGGATATTTTTATACTTTTACCAAATCTCTTACTTAAATTTTTCCTTTTTCTGCTTCTGCTGTAGGTGCCGATTTATTTTCTTCTCCCCTCCCCTCTCCCTACATGGCCTTTTTGACAATCAAAAGATGCGCAGTGGAAGGAAGTATTTTGAGGAGATTTATCACGACCTCCACACTGTATTATCGCACCTCATGTGCAACTTCGGGCTTGTCTTGTTTTGCTCGAACCTTTACAGCACCTGCTGTTTCCAATACACTTCGTCGTTCGTTAACCAGTAGACTGCTCTCTCTCGGGAAACAACAAACGATCAATCCAATCTTTACCAGCCTCATTTGCACAACGAAGCGATTCATTGAAGTCGAAACAAGCGAGACTCCAAACCCTGAATGCCTTCGTTTTTTTTCAATGGATTTATCTTTCCTCCAGCCCGGTTTCTCCATTGATTTTCCCTCGAAGGAACACGCGTTTAAGTCACCGCTAGCTTCTAAATTATTCAAGATTCAAGGGGTCGAGGCAGTTTTCATCTCGGATGAGTATATTACGGTGCGAAAGACCCCGGACGTGGAGTGGGATTCCCTCATTCCACATATTCAGAACGCCATCATCGAATTCTCTAATAGCGGGGAGGAGACGCTCTCTGAGGAGGGCGAGAACTGCTTAACCGGCTACAACGACGACACGGAGCCCAGCGACGACGACGACGAGGTGGTGCTGGCGGTGAAGGAGCTCCTGGCGACGCGTATCCGTCCGATGCTGCGCGCGGATGGTGGGAATGTGCGCTATATTGACATGGATGACGGGACCGTGTATTTGCTTCTAGAGGGCGCGTGCAAGGCGTGCCCTTCGTCTCATTTAACACTAAAAGGCGGTATTGAGCGGATGTTGATGCACTGGATTCCCGAGGTGGTGGAGACTCAAGAAGTGAGTGATGAAGTAGCTGAGGATATTCTTTCCGAGAAGCGTCTTCGAAAGAAATTGAAGGAAAGTAATGGCGTAGTGAATGCTCAGTAGGTGAGGTCGGCATAGATTGTTTTTAATAATTTTAACTCATCCAACACTGACATGAAATTATTAATTGCCTGAGTATTCACTCATTCGGATAACTACACATGGGTGACATTACGATTAAAGCCAAGTGATATGCTTTTCTTTTAGTCTTTAAGTAAGGCGATAATTTTGTTTTTGATCTCGGATTAGCGGTGTGAAATGTACGCCTGGAAGACCATTTCATGCTTAATTCACTACCACTACCACAAAAACCATTCGTTACCACATCGAGCATTTTTTTCCTTCTGTGAACGTACTTGGTCCATACAAAGGAGGGTAAAAATGGGGTTATAGAATCGGAGTCTCAAATCTAGAAAATCTAGAAAATAAGGCGATTTTCTTCCGGTTAGCATGCTTTGTAGTGATGTAAGAGTGTCATTTATTGAGGACGTAACTCAGTAAACTGACTGCGTAAGCATGGCGTGCCTTGTCTTTGAAAACATTTTCGACATACTTTGTCGTACTAACCATCTACCGTTCTCGAAGGGGGAGATACAGAGAGTATAGTAATTCAATGCAAGTTACAAGTATTTGTATCTATCTTTATATTACTATGCGTGTGGGAATATGGAAATAGCAAAATCGATCTGATTTTACTGCCTTAAACCATTTTCTAGCTATTTATCATACACGTTGTGCGTATGTTCTGCTCGAATTCACACCTTCACGACGGTTAATATAAACTGGTAAGTTGAGAATTCATTCACGTTATGACTATTCTATTTTTGGATTCAACTATTTCTCTTAATCTGTGGTTTGTATGTTATTGTTTCCAAGGAATCGACGAAAAGAAATGCCGAACGTTCCCGCCCCTGAGTCCGCCGTGAAGCGCGCTGCTTTCAAGCAGCAGCAGACCGAGAACTTCAAGAAGGCCATCGCCGCCGCCAAGGCTGCTAAGGCCTCTCTAAGGAAGCTCGCCTACAAGCGCGGCCTCCAGTACTCCCGCCAGTACCGTGGTGCGGAGAAGAAGCTGGTGACGCTGCGCCGCCAGGCCGCCACAGGTGGCAACTACTACCTCGAGGCGAAGCCCAAGGTGGCCGTCGTGACGCGCATCCGCGGTATCGCCAAGGTCCCGCCGAAGCAGCGCAAGATCCTCCAGCTGCTGCGCCTGCGCCAGATCTTCAATACGGTCTTCGTGAAGCTTAACAAGCCGATCGAGAACATGCTGCGTGCGGTGGAGCCCTACATCGCGTACGGCTACCCTTCCCTCAGCACGATCCGGGCTCTGGTTTACAAGCGCGGATACCTCAAGGTCAACGGCCAGCGCATCAAGATTGTCGACAACCAGATAGTCAAGGACAAGTACAACAACGATGACGTCGTGTGTGTCGAGGATGTCGTGAACCAGATCTACACCTGCGGCAAGCACTTCCGCACCGTGACGCACGGCCTGTGGCCCTTCAAGCTGGCGCCACCGGCTGGCGGCATGAACCAGAAGCGGCGCCACTTCGTTGAGGGTGGTGACTTCGGCAACCGTGAACTCCTCATCAATCGCTTCCTCGCCCGTATGATCTAAGAAGCGGCAATGCCATAATTCTTAGCGGATTATCCTACACTATGAATATGTTTTTCATTTTGTTTCTCTAATTACATTTAAATTTCTGAAGACTAATCCACTGTTTGATGCCCTTTCTGGTGCCATCCGTGCAAAAAATAATTTCTTGATATATCTCAGCCCTCATCTCTTCTTCTTCTTCTTGATTATGCGAAAAGACAAGCACATACATACACGTCTTGCTTGAAAGTTTTTTTTCGTAGTTTTTGAGGTAAGAGTTTTGGTGCTAGGCTTATTTATCCACCTTTAGTATATCCTCGCATATCATTCGAAATCAAGCAGAAATGAAGTCATTCTAGTTTATAGCATTTAAAAGCTACATATATCCATATATATAAATATTCTGAGTTGGTACAATAAAGTGGCTAGTCTTGATCTCAAATGAAAACAATATACTTCTCCTTATCATTCCACACATGTTTTCGGAGACGTGAGGAGGTTACTAATAGTATCAGTGCATTGGATGCCCTGTTTGACTACAAATCGATCCCAGTGCAATTTTGAAAATTCTTCTTTATTGCTTCAAATTGCGGTTATTAAATACTTGGAAACGACCGGACTACCGGAGCGTACACCTTTAACAGTCTAATAGTTTCGCCTTTTAAAGAATAACGTGATCGAGTAAATTAAATACATTAGGGTTAATGCGGTTACAACTTCTTTAAAAAGAGACAATATGCCGATCTTTAGCCCAGTCCCAAGATCCAAGCTACACATGAGGGGACCTAAAAAGAGGAGAATACACCAGTGACTTTGCACAGATTCAAGCTAACTGAAGGAGCGTCTTCCCTCAGGTTGCACGTGATACTACTTCCCCTGATGAATTATTTTACATGTGTTAGAGGTTCTGCCTAATGCATTTCTTTACGTTTTGTGACTTTTCAAAATCGAGATTTATCGTGCTCAACGTCTTGATAGAGTCTTTAAACTTACATTTATCACCTCCAAGCTCTAAATTATGTCAAGGCGTTGTTGAAAATGTGCTATAACAGTGGAATACTTAACGTTTACTTGGGGTGTAGCCTTTTTCTTTTAGAGTTCTTAAACTTCCTGAGTGTTTACACTAAGCACGACATCCTTACGCCCAACGTATCCTTGCGTACTTCAAGATGAGCTCTCTACTTAGATATAGAGAGGTTGGAGATTTAAAGTTTGCGTAGTGGCATTTCACTATTGAAAACATCTTTTCCATTAAAGTTTTAACATATTAGGGAGATTCTTTGACTACATTTTCTAAGTTAAACTTCTCCTTGAATATATATATATATTTTAAACACTGCTTCCTAATTTTGACTACTAGTGATTAAAGCGAATGTTTTTATGCAAAAGTATGTCCTTAAAATGCATATACAATAACCTGTAAGAAAAGCTATGTTTTTGATCCTAATTTTTCCCATATTTAAAATACACTCCATTTTTTTTCTTATGCCCATATATCACAAACTGTGTATATCTAAATGAATCTGCGTACTTTTTCTTTGAACATATAGTTTTTAATCACGATAAGAATATGTGAATAGATTAGAAGCTTCGTACATTTATTAATTCTCTCTCAACGTTGTTATTTTGTTATTTAATTTTCTTTGGTAAATTTAGTTGGGATGAGGAATGGGACACTCAACGCAAGTTTACTTCTTTCGAAACTGAAGGAAGATTCAGAATCGATGCTTGTACAGGTATCGTACATGTTGACTGCTATATGTGAAGATCAGCTTTGTACTTTGCAGTAATAATGTAATTATGCAACGATGTCCCTCCTTTTGTATACTTTAATCCATCATTCAACTTAAAACGCGAGATAATACTGCGGGAGCATGACTTAATCCAATAGCGCAGGTGGAAAGTGTTAAACTCTTTTCTTCGTGAATTCAATATTTCCTCTCTCTCTCAAAAAAATTCCGTGACTGAATCTTTTTATAAAGACAACGTTAAGGATAACATACAAGGTTAAAGTTTCCGTCATGGCTTTCTTTGATAGAAAAAGGGCAAATGAATTATTTTATGAGGGCTATCAACAGACTAAATGCTTTGAGGAAGCAATACGTCATGTTGACGCACAATTTCGAGAGATGGAAACCAATGAAACCACGGCTGTTGAACTGTTCCCTCCAAAGAACCTGCACACCGCAGTGGGAGGAAAACTCTGCCATTGTCGGGGAATGGTGCAGGATGTCTCACTAGAGCCCATGCTCTACAAGGGGACGCCGCATCTGTTTTACGTCAGTGGTGAAGATAGCGAGGAGGATGGCACTTTTGTGGATGTTATGTTGTATTACGTCATTCCTGTCCCCTGTAATGACCACTTCTACGACATAACCGAAACAGCAGGCGCAGCTACCCCACAGGGAAGCTCCACCTACGCATCCGAGCGAAGGCGTGTCCGCTGTGACGAAGAAGAGGCTCCAGAGTCTACCAAATTCGACGTGGCCATCAAGCAACGGGCAGTAAGTTTCTGCACCGAAGCCCAGCGAGCCGTGAAAAATGATACTGTCCGCCCTATAGATTTGATACAAACCCAGGAACAGTACCTCAATCTTCCCTACCCAGCCACCTCGAAGTCCCTTTGCACGGCATGTATTATTATGGTGCCGACACCGTGTAACAGTAGCGGCATGTGCAAACGCGTCATTAATATTAATGATGTCGTAGACTTTTATGGTTTTTTACACTTCCCCGATGACCAAACTGATCCAGGTGTGCTTGAAGAGGACGAGTTCGCCCAGTTTTCATCGTGGCATGCGGCGGAGCTGTCGAAAGGGCTGGTGTCGCGACTGTTCTGCGTTTCCTATCGGCATCTTCGTGAGACTTTGCCGGTTCAAAGGTGCTTGTCGCAGGTCCGCCTGAGTTTTGAGAAGGACCGGGGTATGTGCAAAAGGTACTTGGAGCGTGAAGTTTGTTGTGGCGACAGCTTGCTAGCCGAGTATCTTCTTTTGCATTTGGCCACAAAGGTGAGCGGGCACCACGAAATGACACCTATCGGCGATATTCCTCTTTTGGTCACTTCGAAAATGATTGAACCGCGTACGTGGTCTGAGCGGATTGCTAAAATTACACCAGTCGCAGAGGTTTTTTTTGACGAAAAGTTGCTCTGCGGCTCGGAGCACTCGTTGGGACCTATCTATGACTACGACAAGAACTATATTAAGACTGGTCTTTTGCAAGTGGCAAATGGTTCGCATATAACGGTGGATTGCACGCACCTTTCTGATGTGGAATCTCAAGGGAAAGAGTGTCGACAGTGGGATGATTTACTCTTTGACCTTATCCACAAACAAAAACTTAGCATTGATTACAGGTATCATACCGTCCCTATTCTTGTAGACCTGGCATTTTTGGCTCTTTATGCGACTGATGATGACTCAGTGCATCCTATTTTAAAATTTCCTCTTCGGATCAAGTGGGAGCCGCAATCTATGTCGAGCTGCACACCATCTGATGCCGCGACGTCAGACTCTGAGATGACAGTCATACGCCGATACTTTACTCGGACTCATCAGCTCACCCCTTCCCAGTCCGATGAGAACAACATCCAGGAAAAACTTGTGGAGGCCATGATGAACCTCTCAGTATTGTTCCCCAAATGGAATAACCACGATCCCCTGGTCCATAACAACGCCTTTTCCGCTGTCACAGCTTTATTTCGAGCCCAGGCACTCAGTATGGGACGGGAGGCTGTGAATGAGGAGGACATCGAGTTCGTCATGAATCTAGAAAAGAAACGAATGGGGCGCATGTAGATTTCGCGGCACGTACGTTCTTTTAACTTGCTGCAAAAGATCCAATGAAATCCCGAAATGACTTTAGGCGTAATTGGTCTCAAAAGCAGTGCTATATTGAATGTTAGTGTACTTCATTGTCAACCCGGAACGTTTTTTGCTAGTGTTAGTCGGAGAATTGCACCGAAGGGGAAAAAAAGGGAAGGGAAGGGAGGAGAGAGAGAGAGAGAGGAGGGAGGGTACGAAGGGTTAAATTA